CGCGCGGGGGCGGCCGGCTCGCTCCGGCCCGGCCACAGCCCCGCTGAAAGCCCTGCCCCCACTCCCAGCGCGCGCCTCTGCCCCGACTCCGCATGGGCTGGAAGCCGGCCCAGGCCCTTCCACGCGCTCGGCCCTGGGGGCAGGTCAGGGGCCACGGCCCGCCCCGGGCCATGCAGCCTTGTGCCGGTGCATGCCACGCTGCGCGCCCCAGCGTTTACCTCAGCCGTTCGGGCGTCAGGGCTGCAGTGTTTTCCTCCTGCTCCCGGAGAGGGGGGTGGAGGGGGGGCTGCTGCTCTGGTGGGTCTGGGGGAACGTGGACCATGCAGCAGATGGGTGCTCCAAGTCTTTGTTGGCATCACACGCCAAAGCCATTTCGTCTAAGCCTGGGAAATCTTTGCCCTTGTCATGGGAGAAAATATTTTTTCCTAGGGCAGACAAGGGACTCTTCCAGGATGGGGCTTCACCCTGCATTTGGAGCTTTGCCCCCCCCCTCCATTTGTTACTAGGGCCTGTTCTTGAGAGCGTGCTTCTGCTTAAGGGCTGCAGCATTTAGGGGGAATGTCTAGGTTATGTCCCCATAGGGGTGTGAGCCTAGAGGAGTCTGCCTATGTATGTTGGAGGGCTGGAGGGGGGTGCCTCATAGGCAAATACTCGATTTACCACAAAGCTAAAATCATAAATCAAATTATAGGGGAGTGACTGTGCAGCCAAGGGGTGAGAGAGGAGAGACGGAGCTGTAGAGACACCTTCCACTCTACTGTCAGAAAGATGAGGGAGTGAGAAAGTAATTTCCTCAGATTCTCAGAAACAATCAGACTTTTCATCACAAAGTGAGGAGGAAAACCTGTGCCTGACCCTGGGAAAACAGAGAGAAATGGGAGAGACAGCATGATGCTGCGCAGCAACCTGCCACTGCCTCAGGAATGGACACTGGTGACAAAAGGGATACACGGGATCAACCCCTGACACTGTGTGAAGCCTGGAACACACTGTACCCATCTTTGACAGGCACCCCAGGGGGGGCCAAATTGATTACTCTGTCAGCGCTTCTGTAGATTGTCATGTCAATAAAATGTGCTGAATTGTGTTTGAAAGAGTCCGTTCTGTGTGTTCCATCTGCGCTGTCTTTTGTGCATGTGTTTACATGAGCGTGTTTGAGAGAGTCCATTTGTGTTTCATATGGCTGGGGTCCCTCTTTGGGGACTCGGTGATATGTGTATTTCAGGGTGCCAGCATACATGTGGCCCTGTGTTTGGGTGGGTTTAAAATCATTGGCTTACACATTTTGAAAGAGGTCTGCAAGTGCTGTAGGGAGTGATTTGTGTTTGTATTTGGGAGAGTGTCTGTGTGTGTGTGCGCACACACATGCTTGTGTGCTCAGAGGGGTGCCAGTTTATGTGTGAGAGGGGAGTCAGCATGTATGTATGTGCTTTTGAGCCACTCTTCTTTCACTCTCTGCATAGACACATACACAGGGTTTTATGCTGGGGATTACCCATACTTCTTTCCCATTCTCCAGCCTTTTCATCTCTAACCCTCCTGGGACTTGTACAAATTATCTGTACAAAATTCACTCTGCTAATCCTTACTGTGTTCATCTTCTGTAGCTGGCTATATACATGGCTGGGGCACCCCCTTCTGGATGGGAGACAGGGATCCAACACTCCCCCCTAAATCATACCTCTTTACCCTGTGCATGCTATCATACAGTCTTCTCCAGGGTTTCTCACTCTCCCACTCCCTCCTCCTTCTCACCTGGTGGCCACTGGGGGGAGGGGGGTATGAGGCTCGAAGAAGGGCTAAACCAGCCACTCAGGCTCCTTCTGACCTTTTCAAATTCTGATGAATGTGTTTAGTATAATTGGGAAGCACAAAATGGGAGAAAATTCAACCAGGGAAAAGGTCAGCTAAAGGGCAAAAATACAAATAATGCAAAAACAAAAAATCTGCTCCCCCCAAGCAAAAATAGTGGAGGAAGGAATCAGAGAAATAGGGTGGAGAGCCTGGGACAAAGATAGTGTGGGGAGCCAGGCGTCTCAATGATAGGATCAGGTTGAGGTTGGAATGAGGTGGGACAAAAGGGGAGCTGAGAATTTAGGATGAAAGCATTAAGGCAAGGTCATGAGGGAGATGTGATGAGGTTAAAGGAAAGGTACTTTTTATTTTGAAGTGCAAGCTTAGGATGAACAGGTCTGGGTGAGGCTGGGAGAGTAGTTTAGGAAAGGGGCTGATTGTGGTTGGGGGAGGAGGTTACAGTGAAATTGGTGTAATGGGTGAAGTGGGTGGAGGAGGTTCATGGAAGCTTTGGGTGAAGGGATTGAGATGAGGTAATGAGAGCTAGGGGCTTTTGGGGGTAAGGTTAGAGTGATGCAAAGTGTAGGGTATTACTCAGAAAGGAATAAAATTGCAGGAGGGGGCAATGATAGAGAGAAATTAGGTGAGGAATTAGGGTTGCCCGTATCCATTACAGAAACAAATCTTACCAAAGATAGAGGACTATTAGTGGGTGGAAATGGTTGACTTGTGTCCAACGAATATTTTTCTTTTGTGTTTGAAGATAACTGGGAAATGTATTCATATCACATGGGAATGACAAAGTATGTTTTAGCCCATTAGTAATTACAGAGGACGTTGTAACAGCAGGGTGTGTACACAACATCTAATAACATTCCTAATATGCATAAAGGGTTTTAAATTAGCAGATATGGACAATTTACATCCAAGAGTCCTAAAAGAACAGGCTCAGGATTCTGCCTGATGCTGCTTATTTTTACTATATCTGAGAGTACTGGGGAATGGCCAGAAGGCTGGAAGAGTGCTAATGTTGTCTCAATATTCAAAAAGGTCAAGTGGAGTGTTCCTCTTGGCATCAGGCCCAGGCAAAATCAAGGAAAAGCAGACATGGGATTCACTCAAGAAAGAAGAAAAGGATGGGGCTAGTCTTAATGCCAAAGTGGTTTTATGAAAAAAGATCTTGTCAAAAAAACCTGATTTCACTTTTGCATGAAACTACAAGTTTGGTTGAAAAGGTAACTCTATAGATGTTATATTGACTTGAAAGACATTGACTTTGCACAACATTATAATGAAAAGCTTAGCACTACCCTATAGAAAACGCATTGAATGGATGAAGAACTGGCTATGTGACAGATCTCACAGAGAAACTGGTAACCCAGAATCAGCAATGGTAGAGAGTACATTAATGGGCTTATACAGGGGTCAGTTCTAGGTCCAAAATAAATGTAACATTTTTCATGTGTCATCTGGAAGTAAATATAAAATTGCAGCTGAAGAAATATGTGATGGACAGAGAGATTGCCAGAGTGATAAATAACAAAGGCAGTCAAAATGATTTGGAATGAACAGGAAGTTGGCCTGCTCAAACAAAATGTGTATTAACTAGCCAATTGCCCATCAAGAATGATGGGGGGGGGGCACCGCCACACTGCCCTGCACTGCCTCCAGCCCCGTGCGACCCCTCCGTCCGGCTCCATGTGCTCACCCCCAGTCACTCCACACCGCAGCGCCGCCTCCCAGGTGCGGAGCAGGGGGGAAGCTTGCACGCAGCAGCCACAACTACCACCCAGTACCTACCCTGTGCTGCCACCACTGCACGTCCAGCCACACGCAATG